GGGTGCCAGTGACGCAAAGAACTCTCCCTGGAGGCTGAGTCACAGGCAGGTGGGGGTGGGGCTGGGTGATGTCAAATCCCATCAGCCACACAGCAACCAGCTTTCTCCACCTCCCACCCCCTGCACCCCTTTGACTGGGGAAGCGGCAGGAAAACGCAGAGAGGGCAGAAGGAAGTGTCCAGTGTACAGACTATGTTCTGGAAAGCCTTCCGAGAAGGAAGTGCTGAGGCTGATAGCTGCTTTGGATTAGGATGCAAAATCAAATGTCCAAGGAAGCCACTGCATATTCCCATCAGTCAGCGGAATGGGATCAAACTGCTGAATTAGCCAAACCAAGGGAGTCTGACCTAGAGAATCTCCCCAGCCGTGCTTGTGTCAGCAGTTCCTGCAATTATTATGGAAACCCGGTGACCCAATTTCCTCGACCTTCTTTTCATTACAGAGAAATGTAATGGGTTCACATTTAAGGCCAATGGAACTAGGTAGCAAACAGATTTCAAAATGCCACAGCAAACCCCCATGGAAATCTGCCTCCATGGAGAAAATCCTAACAGAAAAAGATAGTTCAAGAGCAAACTGGGAGTCACTGCACTTACCGCAAACACTGAGGGCTGCAGAAAGGTCTGGATCCCGGACACCTGGTTTCTTCTTCCCAGCAGGCTAAATGAACGATGCTCCCTGACTTTCAAAGAGGGTGGCACTGGTTTTTAACACATCACTTTCTATGGTCACACAGCTCCCTCTTATCACTCTCCTGATGTCTTAGAAGTCCCACAGTCCTCCCTTAAAATAAGGAAGAGTTTGCTCAGGTCAGGTGATAACTAAACAAATGCCCACAGCTTCCCTGCTCACCCTTCTCCCCCTGGCCCTAGGTACTTGACTATGTATTTGGTCCCAGCTGACCATCCATCTGTCCATTCATCTTGGCCCATATGGCAACACGTACCATTGGGGATGGTTCTCCCTAGCCTCAGCCAGAGCTGGGGCCTGAGTCTAACAGGGAAACTGTGAGGTACTAACCTGCCACCCTCCCAGACCACAAGCCCAGGTGCACTGTGATGGGACCTCCTGAACTTTGGGCCAAACTCTAGACTTACCTCTATCAGCCCTACCACACTCAGAAGTGCCTGGGCCCAGACAGAGTTCTCTCATTTCCTGAAGCAGCCAGGGGAAAGGGTGGTTTGTGGGGAAGTGGGAGAGGGAGCCCCTAGCATGCCCCTCTGGAGTAGGGCCCAGAAATTCATTTATTTTTAAACAAGCAGCAGCAAGTCAGTGGTCAAAAGCAGAGGCTTTGGAGACTGACAGGGTTTGGATCGCCCACCTGTGTGAGCTGAACCACATACTCCTTGGCTGAGAGGCCTCAGTCTAATCAACACAGCTCATTTCCTCTGCTGTAAAAAGCAGAACAGGCATACCTTGCAAGATTATTGTAAAACCTAGAGACAACCTGTAAAGTGTCCAGCATACAGTAGGCATTCAACAAGTGGTAGTTCTAAAGAGATGAAATGGAGGAGGGACACAGTGAGAGAGGACATGGAAGCCTGCTGGAAAATTACGCATCTGCTGAACCACCAGACACAAGAACTGGCTTCAAAGGCCAGGCCCCAGAGATCAAGTTTCCATCCACCCTAGCCCGGCCCCAAGCACTATGGCCACGTGAACATATTGTCAAATAAAAGAGCACATCCATAGGACAATGTCAGAGTTGGCAAGGACCTTAAAGGCCATCAATACCCCCTAGTCAGGTCCCTATATTATAATTAAGGAAACTGAAGCCTAGGAGGAAAAAGTAATCAGTTAATGTTCCATGACCAAAAGCCACAGTTACAACTCAGGTCTCCAACTGCCCATTCAGCACTTGTGAGGGTCATGTACCCAGTGCGCAGGGTTTGGTCATGCAGGCAGCCCCACGACACAACACATGGGCTTTCTGGGAGCACACTCACACTCACAAGACACGTGCCTTCGCCATGGGCAGGTATGTGTCCAGAAATCCTCCCTATCACTCACTCAGCAGCTCATCTGTCACCTCAAAACTCTCGACAGTCTCTCTCCTGCCATGCCCCCCAACTCCTGCCCCAAGGGCTCACTATGCTCTCCCTCTGCTACTTGCCCAGTTTGATTTGGCTCCATGTGGGGGAGTGCCCACATATGGGCATGGGGAGGACACAGGGCACTGTTTCTCTAGCCCAAAAGAGAGGGTGGGAAAGCATCCTGCTGTGGGACTGGTAGGATAAATAATTCAAATGCTCTAGGCACCCATCAAATCTGCTTTTCCAGAAGTACTCAATAAAAGGAAAATTCTGTAGGCATAACAGAAAAACAGGATACAAAAACTTCACCTGTTTCCTCCCTCTACTAATAGATAAATATGTGTATATGAACAGAGCTTGGACGGAAATGCACGTTAAGAGTGGTTATCTCAGCTGGGCACAGTGCCTCACGCCTGTAATCCCAGCACTTCGGAAGGCCAAGGTGGGTGGATCACCTGAGGTCAGGAGTTCAAGACCAGCCTGGACAACATGGTGAAAACACGTCTCTACTAAAAATAAAAAAATTAGCCGGGCATGGTGGCATGCGCCTGCAATCCCAGCTACCCAGGAGGCTGAGGCAGGAGAATCTCTGGAACCTGAGAGGCAGAGGCTGCAATGAGCTAAGATCATACTACTGCACTCTAGCCTTGGCAATAAGAGTGAAACTCTGTCTTAAAAAAAAAATTTCCTGAATTTTCTAGAATAAACATGTATCACTTTTATTTTTAAAAGAGACCAATAAGTTTCTGGTTAAGGTATAGAAGAATGGTGGGTACTCTTTGAATTTTTCTTCCCCTGTTCTAGAATTTTCACAAAGATGAACAAGTAGCCCATTCTTCCCAGTCAGTGAAGAGGCTACCAAGAAATGATCTCCCTCGCTGACATCTGGTCTTTCCTGAGGACTGACGTGAAATCTTTCTTTTTTTTTGGTTTTTTTGAGACAGAGTTTCACTCTTGTTGCCCAGACTGGAGTGCAATGGCATGATCTTGGCTCACTACAACCTCCACCTCCAGGGTTCAAGTGATTCTCCTATCTCAGCCTACAGAGTAGCTGGAATTACAGGCATGCACCACCATGCCTGGCTAAATTTTGTATTTTTAGTAGAGATGGGGTTTCTCCATGTTAGCTAGGCTGGTCTCGAACTCCCGACCTTCAGTGATCCGCCCACCTTGGCTATCCAAGTGCTGGGATACAGGCATGAGCAACCGTACCCGGCATGAAATCATTCTCTTCTCCAGACATTAAAATGATGATTATCCCTTCTCCAGGTTTGGAGCCCAGGGAAACATGTTCCCCTGCAGGCCTCTCAGCCTCACCCCCCGCCTTTCCGCAGCTGTGGCAGCTGGGAACAGAACAGCTGGGAATACTTGCAAAAACATTTGCTGTCTTATCAGTCCCCAACTAAACAGTGTCCGAAAGTCAAAGGAACAGCTGAAAATCCGCCAGGGATGTTCTCATTAGACACACTGCATGTGAACTACACACACTGCTTTGGTTTCTTTAAAAATTTTCTGTTTGTCAGGAAGTTGCTCATGGAGACTCCATGAAACTTTCCAGCAGAGACAGGGGTAGGAGTTGAATGGAGGAAACCTCCTGTGCAAAAACTTAAAAGATAAAGACAATGTAGCCAGCTATGTTCAAATCCTGGTGCTTAACACACTGAAGCCACATACTGGACCAGCTACTTAACTCCCTGAACCTGTTTCCTCTTCTGTAAAAGTGTGATAATAATAAACTATTTCAGTGTCATTGAAATTCTTAAGATAACTGTGATAACTGCTGTACAAGATGGCTTTTTATTGCATATGACCAACTCATAAGCGAGATATGTCATTATTAACATCGATAACAGAGAAAGGCCAAAGTGGGCAACAGGCAAATTCCCTGTGGGGGAGCAGTAAGCAGCCAGGGAGGGGAGACAGGTATGACACTATGCACCATACCTCCAGGAACCTCAGCAGCCCCTGGCCCTTGCTCCTCCTCCTCCTCACTGCTCTTTCAAATAGACAGAAACAAGCCACTCACTTCCCACTCGTGAACATGCTGCACTTAAGACTTGACACACGGTCACTTCAACACCAAAGGGTACAGAGTTTTCCCCAAAAGCCTGATACAACATCCATGCCAGTTCAAAGCAAATACCCCACCCCCCCAGGCCCTCACTCCGGCCTCTACCCTGGAAACCAAGGCCCAATCAGGGCGTCCTGCTGGCCTGATGGGAGACTGGGAACGCAGCTCTGAGCTGGGGCCAGTCACCGCCTCCCCACAAACAGATTCAGCAGAGAAGAACCAGAGGTTCACACACCTGAAACAGCTTATCCTGAGCCTTTAATTACCACCAAAGGTCTTGGCCGAAGGCCTTGGAGGCTCAGGTGTCTGCAGAATTGGCTAAAGAGACATCAGGTGCCGCCTTCCTGGAAGCTGGGGTCGGTCCTAATCAAGTTACTCTGTAGGCAGCCTTGGCAGCCCAGACTGTGGCTTCTGACTTGTCTAGCCTGCAGCAGTCTCTACGGGATGCTCTCAGGTTCTCCATCAGTCAATAGGGATGCAGTTACTTCACTCAACACCCTTCATACCTTTCAAAGGTATATAAGCCAACAAACAAGCACATTTCATCTAATTAGCCAAGGGGTGAGGTCTGCTCAGAGGGATGGACAGCAGATCTAGAAGCCAGGACACTGGGGACTAAGCCTGGCTCTGCTATATCCTACCTGGGCGACCTTGGGAAAAGTCACTTTAGCTCTGTGGCCTCAGTTTCTTCATCAGTAAAATTCGGGTGGGGACTAGCTTCTGTCTCAGGTTCCTTCAGCTCCAAAAGCTTGCTTCTCACGGTCTCCTCACAGTTGCAAAGGCCTGATAAAAGAGCCGAATACCACTGCTAACAGAAACCGGCTCTAGGCTTGGGCCTGCGGCCCTGCCCCTCACGTGCCAGCAGACCCCCCAGCGCGCCTCCTTCCCGGGAAAGCATGCCGAGGGCCCGGTGTTGGAGGCCGGATGGACTCGGCACAACGGAGGTCTCCGGCGAGAGAGAGAGGAAGAACAAAACGCCCCCGCCTGCTACACGGCTTGAGACCCACGTGCACCGCTCCTTTAAAATGCACGGGCCCTTTAACAGCTCGCACCGCGCCCACCCCCAGCTGGGGCTCGGCAGCAGGCGGGCGCGGGGAAGTGGGGACGCAGTGAGGCCGGAGGCCAGAGACCCGCTCCCGCTATCCTTCCACGACCCAGTTCCGGGCCGGCCCAGCCGCCGCCCGCCGGGCACTCTCTTCTCTCTGCCCCCGCGCTGGCCGCAGAGGCCAGGAGCGCGGCACACGCAGGAGCCGCAGCCCCGTAGCCAGGGAAGGGACCGCGGCCAGGGGCCTGCGGAGGGCAGGGCCGAGCCCTCGGGGCACAGCCCCATCCCGGGCCCTCAGCGCCGCAGGCGACAGGGCCCCGGCCTGGGCACCCCAGCACCGCCCGCTCACCTGCTCCACCGCCGCGCTCCGGCGGAGTTTACGCCGCTGGCGGAGCGCCCGGCCGGCCCAGGCCCCGCCCCGCGCCCGCCCGGGCCCCGCCCCGTGGGCGACGCCACGTTCCCTTGTCCACTGGGGCCCCTCCTGGAGTCCCGGGAGCGCAGGGAGGGTGCCCTTCGCGTCGCGCGGATGACAGGATCAACCCGACGTCGGAACTGGGCAGCGACCTTAGGAGTGGAAGCCGGGCCTGTCATCTTCCTGCGGGCCTGGCAGCAGCGTGGGGCGGTAGGACATATGCTTCATGGACACTCTTGTAGTTTTAGGTCCACATCCCCTCCTCCTCCCGGTTTTTCTCACATTAAAGGAGCACTAGTGGCCCGATGTGAGCTAAGACCAGGAGAATTTTCCTGGGCTGTTTCCGAGAGCGCTTCAGAGCCACCAGGAGCTTTGGATAAAATCGAACAGGGATGAAATTGATGCTTGAGCTGAGAATTGGCCTAGGGGGTTGTGGTTCCAGGATTTGGGGTCTGTGGCGTAAGTTGAGATTGTCAACAATTTGACATTAAGTAGTTTTACTTTTTTTTTTTTTTTGACTTAAGGTGAAATTCACATACAAAATTTTCCATTTTAAAGCGGGCATTTCGGTGGCATTTAGTGAATTCACAATGCTCTGCAACCCCCACATCTGACTAATTCCAAAACATTTTCTTCACTTCAAAAGAAAAACCCTATACCCACTGAGAAATTTCTTCCCAATACCCTCTTCCCCAGCTCCTGGCAATCACCAGTCTACTGCTGTCTCTCTATTCACATAAACGGAATAACAGTGTGTGGACATTTGCATCCAGCTTCTATCACTTGTAATGTTTTCAAGGTTCATCCTTAGGTAGCATGTAACAGACTTTATTCCTTTTTATGACTGAGTAGTATTCTATTGTGTGTGCATATGTATGTATATGTGTGTGCATGTGTATGTGTATACCACAGTTTGTGGACATTTGGGCTGTTTCCACCTTTTGGCTTTGTGAATAATGCTGCTGTGAACATGCATGTACATGTATTTGTTTGAGAACCTGTTTTTGTTTTGGGAGGGTACATACATAGGGGTTGAATTCTTGGATCCCATGGTAATTCAATTTTTTTTTTTTTTTTTTTTTGAGACAGAGTCTTGCTCTGTCACCCAGGCTGGGGTGCAGTGGCCACAATCTTGACTCACTGCAACCTCTGCCTCCCAGGTTTGAGTAATTCTGTTGCCTCAGCCTCCCAAGTAGCTGGAGTTACAGGTGTGTGCCACCTTTTTTTTAGTAGAGATTTCACCATGTTGGCCAAGCTGGTCTTGAGCTCCTGACCTCAAGTTATCTGCCTGCCCCAGCCTCCCAGAGTGTGGGGATTACAGGTGTGAACCACCATGCCCGGCCTTCAATGTTTACCTATTTGAGGAACCACCAAATGGCTTCCATGATGGCTGAACCATTTTATATTGCTACCAGCAATGTGCACAGTTTCAGTGTCTCCGCATCCTCACCAGTGCTTGTTATTTTCCATTTTATTGTTATCCTAGTAGGAATGCAGGGGTACCTCATTCTGGTTTTGGTTTACATTTTCCTAATAACTAATGCTGTTGAGCATTCTGCTTTTCATGTGCCTGTTGGCCATCTGTGTATCTTCTTTGGAGAAATGTCTAAATTCCTGTGAATGGTTAGTACTTTTCTTTTTTCTTTTTCTTTTTTTTTTTTGGTATGCCTTCTAATTTTTTATTGTTGTTAAAAACTGGACACTTCAGCCAGGCATGGTGGCTCATGCCTGTATCCCAGCACTTTGGGAGGCTGAAGTGGGTGGATCATGAGGTCAGGAGATCGAGACCAGACTGGCTAACATGGTAAAACCCCGTCTCTACTAAAAATAGAAAACTTAGCGAGGCGTGGTGGTGAGTGCCTGTGATCCCAGCTACTTGGGAGGCTGAAGCTGGAGAATCACTTGAACCCAGGAGGTGGAGGTTGCAGTGAGCCGAGATCGTGCCATTGCACTACAACCTGGGTGACAAGAGGGAATCTCTGTCTCAAGAAAAAAAAATGCTGTCAACAGATGCCACCTGGGGAGATGCTCCAGCCTGAGGGGGTGAAGCAAAGACAAGCCTCTGCACCAGTCCCCAGCTAACTGCCAGGTAGGTCAAAATGCACAATCACAATTACTTAAGAACAAAGTCCATATTGCTTATCCTGGCACCAGCAAGCTACATGAGGAATGCTCAGTCCTCTCCCTGAATCCTACATGGACAACTGCTCATAAACCGCTGCACTCAGAAATCCCCTCAGACTGTTCTAGGTGAAGTTCCAGGTAATCAGATGGGCCCTGCAACTAAGTTCCAGGTAATTGGATGGAAGGTGAAGAGGAATGTCCTTGTCATTCTGCTTCCTTTTGAGAATATGGAGATGATAGCCAGAGCTCAGGTAGCCATCCTGGGCCAGGAAGACCACGGGGATGGTGAAGCCACAAAATGGAAGGAGCTGGGTCCTCAATTGTGGAGTCACTAGCTTGGCATTGCTTAACTCCTTGCTTGGTTTCATGGAGGGAAAACCACTTTTATCTTGTTTCAGCCATTGTAATTTTGTGATTCCCTCAGATACAAAACCAAAGTTTAACCAAAGCTTTCTTGATACACACGACCTTTCCAGCCACATTCCTCCTACACTGTATGCCCGGCTATGCTCAGTGCCATGCAGCTCTCTCTGCTTCCATATCTTCGCACAGCGTTTACTGCAGGTTATCAGGAGGGTCTTCTTCACTTGGCTCCCTCACTACCCGTGAGTGTCTTGTCTCTGTTATTTTAATTCTTGGAGAAACTTGGGAAGAGGAAAGATTATTGTTTTCTTACACATGGGAAAATGGGAAAGAAAGTGGAGGTTTACAGAGACAAAATTGTTTCCCAATTGTGCCTGGTTAATGAGTAGCAGAACCAGGTGTGAAGTCAAGTCCATCTGGCCCGATGCAGTGGCTGGCCCCCTCTGCTCCACTTCGAAGGTCCCATGGCGGTGCGTGGGCTGTGGCTGAGGGATCTTTGATAAATTCATTCCCTTTGTGGTTCTCTTTTGAGGTTGTCAGCTGCTTTTCACATGCTGGTTTGTGAGGGATGAGTAAGCGCCTTCCTGGGCCTGGCCGCAGTTCAGAAAGGGATGGCCTCTGCTTCGGGTTTTGGTGTTCAGAGCGTGGTGTTTTCTTTGAACACACTCTAGGGACCCAACACTGCTTAGCAGATGGTGTGGGGGAATGGAAGCTGTGGGAATGGTAGAACAAGATGGACCCAGGTTTGGAATTTGTTTCTTGCACTTACTTGTTGCATGACCCAGAACAATTTCTTAGCCTTGCTGAATGTCAGTTTCCCCACCTGTGAAAATAGAGAATGAGATCTCTCAGAGGTTTATAGAGAGAATTAAAGAGACACCAGTTAAAATGACAGGAGTTTGTATGCCAGGCACTCAACAAATGTTAGTCGTCGTCTTTCTTCTACTTCTCTCCTCTTTTGAGATAGGAGCTTTGTTTGGTTTTGTTTGACATTGCAATGATAGACTATATTATTATTCACAAATTTGGAAGCCTTGCTTAATATGAAAAAAAAAAAAAATAGAAGAGTAGATGAAGCCAAGTGTGGTGATTCATGCCTGTAAGTCCCAGCTACTAGGGAGTCTGCGGTGGGAGGATCACTTGAGCTTAGGAGTTTGAGTCCAGCCTGGGCAACAGAGTGAGACCTCTGTCTCTAAAAAAAAGAAGAGTGGATAAGTGCGAGCAATATCTGACGTCAGATTGCCATGGAGGGAGTCTGGAGTAGTTTTTTTGAGCCATGCAGAACCATATTCCATGTCACAATAGTCTCACCAGTAGGGTTCCAGGGCAGGGTCAGTCTGACATGCATGAAACCCAGCCATAGGATAGGAACTAGAGACACATCCCCAGGGTTTGCCAGTCATGTGTGACACTGGGGACAGAAGAGATGCTTGAAGGACACCTTAAAGCAGCTCTTTCTTTGCTAGAGCTTTTGCCAGTATGTCTGGGAGTTGGCCCCACTCATCTGAAAGATTCTGGTCAACTCACCTAATGACAGTTACCACGGCATTTTTCTAGCATTTTCTCTGTATGATGGGATAATTTCATCTTTCTATGGAGGATGTTTGTGTGATTTTGAGACACTCTTGGGATGGGTCTGCTTTTACCATTTCAAAATTTAAGCCAGCAGCCCTCAACCTTTTTGGCTTCATAACCTCTTTACTCTGTTAAAACCAATTGAGGACTCCAGAAGCTTTTCTTTATGTGAGTTATATCTATCAATACTTACCCATATGCTATGGTTTAGATGTGATTTGTCCCTGTGAAAACTCACCTTGAATTGCCATTGTAGCTTTGTTGGGAGGTGGGGCGCATTAGAGGTGATTAGGTAGTTAAGATGGACTTTTTGTGAGACTGGGCTGGTTTTCTCAGGACTGGACTAGTTACCATGATAGTGGGTTGGTTTGTTTGCTTGTTTTTTGAGGCGGAGTCTTACTCTGTCACCCAGGCTGGAGTGCAGTGGTGTGATCTTGGCTCACTGCAACCTCTACCTCCCAGATTCAAGCAATTCTCCTGCCTCAGCCTCCTAAGTAGCTAGGACTACAGGCACATGCAAACATGCCCAGCTAATTTTTGTATTTTTTAGTAGAGATGGGGTTTCAGGGCCGGGCGCGGTGGCTCACGCCTATAATCCCAGCACTTTGGGAGGCCGAGGTGGGTGGATCACGAGGTCAAGAGATTGAGACCATCCTGGTCAACTTGGTGAAACCCCGTCTCTACTAAAAATACAAAAAATTAGCTGGACATGGTGGTGTGTTTCTGTAATCCCAGCTACTCAGGAGGCTGAGGCAGGAGAATTGCCTGAACCCAGGAGGCGGAGGTTGCGGCCATTGCACTCCAGCCTGGGTAACAAGAGCAAAACGCCGTTTCAAAAAAAAAAAAAGAGATGGGGTTTCACCATATTGGCCAGGCTGGTCTCGAACTCCTGACCTTGTGATCCACCTGCTTCAGCCTCCCAAAGTGCTGGGATCACACCGTGTGAGCCACCACACCTGGCCAATAGTGAGTTGTTACAATGCGAGGCTACTTCTTTTTTCCGTCCCTTTTTTGCCCATGCCTGTTTTCCTTCCGCTTCTCCACTATGTTATGATATAGCAGAAAGCCCTCACCAGAGGCCAGGCAGATGTGGGTGCCATGCTTCATGGACCTCCCAGCTCCAGAATCATAAGCCAAAAAAAAAACCTCTTTTCTTTATAAATTTCCCAGCCTCAGGTATTCTGTTATAGTAACACTGAATGGACCAAGACACCATATTAAAAAGCAAAACTGGGAAATTTTAAAAAATTCACTCACTTAGAATAATGACAGACCCATTATGTGTTAACATATATGACATTCTAATGAAAAATATATTTTGCAAACAAAGTTAGCAGGAAGAATGGCAGTTTCACATTCATGGTGAGCAGTTATGGCCCTCAATTCTGTCCACATTGTAATACTCCGAGCCTGTAAACATGTTACTTTACATGGCAAAAGGGACATTATAGACATGATCAGGGTTAATGATTTTGAGATGGGAGATTAGCTTTCATTATCCAGGTGGGCTTAATCTAATCATCAGCTCCTTAAAAATGGAAAACCTTTTCCAACTGGTCAGAGGGAGACATGACCACTGAAGAAGGCTCAGAGGGAGATGCACTATTGCTGGCCTTGAAGATTGAGGATGGAGTCAAGAGCTGAGGAATGAACAGGACCTCCAGAAGCTAGAGAAGGCAAGGAAACAGTGTGTCCATTACAGCCTCCAAAAAGGAAGCTCTCTGATATGTTGATGTTAGTTCAGTGAGACCCATGTCACACTGCTGACTTATAGAGCTATATGGGAATACATTTGTGTTGTTACGCCACTATGGTTTGTGGTAATTTTTAATGGCAGCAATAGAAAAACTAATAAAAGGCCAGGCACAGTGGCTCATGCCTATAAACCCAGCACTTTGGGAGGCTGAGACGGGTGGATTGCTTGTGGTCAGGAGTTCAAGACCAGCCTGGCCAACATGGTGAAACCCCATCTCTACTAAAAATACAAAAATTAGTTGGGCATGGTGGTACATGCCTGTAATCCCAGCTACTCAGGAGGCTGAGGCAGGAGAATCACTTGAACCCAAGAGTCGGAGATTACGATGAGCTGAGATCACACCATTGCACTCCAGCCTGGGTAACAGAGTGAGACTCTGTCTCAAAAAAAAAAAAAAAGGAAAAACTAATACAATAATTTTGCAAATCTCTTTAGTGTCTGGCTAAACCAAAGACCGTTGGATTCTCGCACCTGCTTCTGAATTCAATCTGTTGTGATATGATTCTTTAGTTGAGGTATATGAAGAAAATTAGACCATATGTAGATTTATAGTTGAAAACCATAGGAGTATTTTAATGGCCTTTTCAGATCATTGTGGATTTTTCTTTGATATGATACCAAATTTAGCAATTGTAATTTTTTAAAGTTTAGTTGCAATGTAGAATATGAAACCATATCAAGAAACTTTTCGTATCTGTTACATTAATGCCATTGGCCTGTCTTGCAATTTGAACGGCTCCTTTACTCATGCATTATTTTTAACATGATGTACTGGTCATTTGGAAAACATTGATTCACTAAGTTATGCAGATCTTCCAACTGTTGACACATTCCATTATACAAGCTAAAAAATTACATGCATTAATGTCAGTCTTATCCAAAGATACAGAGAAGCTATTAAACTCAAAATGGCAGATACAAGTTTTCCAGAATTGTCATTTTCATTTGAAAGCTCAAATTTTATCATTGGCAACAAATAGCATCAGTTGTTTCACTTGAAGTGACAGGCTCACTTTGTTCATTTTTCAGAAAATGTCTGCCAAATACACAAGTCTGAATCACTTTAGGTTGGTCGTCATATTTTCAAGTAAAGATGGTGCTCTATGCAAAAAGCAGTTAGTACAGCTTCCAACTCATAAAATGACGAAAGTGCTTTTCTTGGAGACAATAAAGATGCTTCAAATTGTAGCAGAAATGCTTTTTGCCCACTTCGCATGTCATCACACACAATATTAAAAACAGTACATGAGCAAGGGCAGAGATTAAATGGAATTAATACTTTTTACTGCTTTATTAAGTTCATTCTTCATTGAGACTGCCATTTTTAAAAATCACCAATTTTTTTTTTCCTTTTTTTCCTAAGACAGAGTCTCACTCTGTCACCCAGGCTGGAGTGCAGTGGTGCAATCTCAGCTCATTGCAACCTCTGCCTCCTGGGTTCAAATGATTCTCCTGCCTCAGCCTCCCAAGTAGCTGGGATTACAGGTGCCCACCACTATGCCTGGCTAATTTTTTGTATTTTTAGTAGAGACAGGGTTTCACCATGTTGGCCAGGCTGGTCTTGAACTCCTGACCTTGTGATTCACCCACCCCGGCCTCCCAAAGTGCTGGGACTCCAGGTGTGAGCCACTGCATTCAGCCAAAAAAATCACCAATTTCATAGCAGTTAAGAATGCAATGTCTGCTACTCCTGTTTGGTGTCACAGAGTATGCTCATGCTGTTAGCAGTTTTACCCAACACTGATTTGGTTCTATCAGTGCACATATCAACATGGTGAAAATGAGTAATAACAAAGTCTTAATATCATGAAACCATTTTGCCCACACAGGACCTGCGGTCTGCAGCCTGCAGACCACACTTTGAGAACTGCTTATTTATGCTGTTTTATTTAATGACATCTCCACCTTCATTCCATATTTCTGTGACTTGTAGTGCACGGGGTTAGCATTTTGGTGTTTGTTTCTGTAAACCATTACAAAGATGTGCACACCCACTGTGTTGTCATATTCTAACGATTTATGAAATTCACAGGACGTGCTTTGTAGACAATTTGGCAAACGCTTTTCTTTTAAAAATTGCTTGGCTTTCTCTGTATTTTCTTGAGTTCTGTGTACTGCTATACACATGTTGATTTATGAAGGGAAGTAGTAGCTATCAGATGGTTATTCCCACTCAGCCAGAAATTACCTTGTTGACAGTGGAGGGAAAGAAATAATGCATATGTCTGGACAGTATTTTCAGTTTCATTACATTTTGTTTGCTTCCACATCTAAATTGTAAGATAATATTGTATTATGATAATTAGCATTCATAATTTTTTCTGACTTTACAAATTTTGTTTCTATGGTAAAGCAATACACATTCATTAAAGAAGACTTAGATATTCTAGCCCAGGTGCAGCAGCTCATGCCTGTAATTCTAGCACTTTGGGAGGCTGAGGTGAGCAGATCACCTGAGGTCAGGAGTTTGAGACAGGCCTGGCCAACATGGTGAAACCTCGACTCTACTAAATAGACAAAATTAGCCAGGTGTGGTAACGTGCAACTGTAGTCCCAGCTACTCAGGAGGCTGGGGCACGAGAACCAGCCACTTGAGCCTGGGAGGCAGAGGTTGCAGTGAGCCGGGATCACACCACTACACTCTAGCCTGGGCGACAGAGTGAGACTCTGCTCAAAGAAAGAAAACTTAGATATTCTAAGCAGTATAAAGAAGAAGACAATAATAGTTACATCTTCCAAAGATGACCAATGATAACATTTTGGTGCATTTCCTTCCAATCTTTATCAAAAATACAGTATGTAGAGCATTTTATAGCCTGCCTTTCCCCCTTGACATTGCATTATATGCATGTATTATTGTGTAGCCTTCAAAAATACGATTTGAAATAGTGGAAAAGTGTTCCAAAGAATTGATACACCACACTATAACCATGTACTCACTGTTGTGCTTGTTTTTTTTTTTTAAGAAAGGAGAGGAAGAAAGAAAGAAAAAAAAGTGAAGGAGAGGAAAAAAGGAAGAAAAAGGGAGAGAGAACGGGAATGTTGCTTTATTCTAAAAATGGGTATTGAAAACCTCTTTTCTGCTAATAATTGTGCTTAATAATGGCCGATCAATATTTCATTTAAACCTATGAGTAGGTGTGATGTGGTACTGACAAGAATGTATATTTTGTGTATTTCAAGTGGAGAGCTCTATAAATGTTTATTAAGTTTACTTGTTCCAGATCTGAGTTCAAGTTCTGTATATCCTTATTAATTTTCTGTCTCATTGATCTATCTAATATTGATGTTGAAGTCTCCCACTATTATTGTGTGGGAGTCTAGGGAGTCTAAGTCTCTTTATAGGTCTTATGTATCTGGGTGTTAGGATCGTTAGCTCTTATTGTTGCATTGATCCTTTTACCACTATATCTTTGTTGCTTTGAAATCTATTTTATCAAATGTGAGAATTGCAACTCCTGCTTTTTATTTATTTATTTATTTTTGCTCTCCATTTGGTTGGTAAATCTTTCTCCATCCCTTTGTTTTGAGTCTTTGTGTATCCTTTCATGTGAAATGGGTCTGGATGTAGCATACCGTTGGGTTTTGGCTGTATCTTTTGATTGGGCGATTTAGTCGATTTAAATTTAGGATTACTGCCATTTGATGTTAACTGGCTGTTTTGTCCATTCGTTGATGTAAATTCTTCTTTATGTTGATGCTCTTTACTTTTTGGTATATTTTTAGAAAGGCTAATACTGGTTGTTCCTTTCTATGTGTAATGCTTCTTTAAAAGAAGCTCTTGTAAAGCAGTCCTGGTGGTAATAAAATCTCTGAGTACTTGCTTGTTCATAAAAGATTTTATTTTTCCTTCGCTTGTGAAGCTTAGTTTGGCTGGATATGAAATTCTGGGCTGAAAGTTCTGTTCTTTAAGAATGTTGAATATTGGCCCCCCACTCTCTTCTGGCTTATAGGGTTTCTGTTGAGAGATCTGCTGTAAGTCTGTTAGGCTTCCCTTTGTGGGTAACCTGACCTTTCTCTCTGGCTGCCCTTAGTATTTTCTCCTTCATTTCAACCCTGGTGAATCTGACGATTATGTGCCTTGGGGTTGCTCTTCTTGAGGAATATCTTTGTGGTGTTCTCTGTATTACCTGGCGTTGAATATTGTCCTGCTTTGCTAAGTTGAGAAAGTTTTCCTGAATAATATCCTGAAGAGTATTTTCCAGCTTGGATGCATTCTCTTTGTCACATTCAGGTACACCTATCAAGTGCAAATTAGGTCTTTTCACATAGTCCCATATTTCTTGGAGACTTTGCTCATTCCTTTTTATCCTTTTTTCTCTATTCTTGTCTTGTTGTGCTTATTAAAGATTATTTCCCATTAAAAAAAAATTAGGCCATAGATTTTTTTTTTCTGTATTTCGATTTCTTTAGTGTAAATCTGCCAAAGTAAAATTATTGGAGTCTAGGAAAAGCACTGTTTTTCTACTCAAAACACTTCTGATGCCAAATGTCTGGGGGTTTTCCTCACACTTAATCATTTCTTCACCTCTCTGTACACCAGCTGGGTGTCCTGGCATTCAGCTCAATTCTGACACTACCTACCTGGAGTTAGCGCAGACCTGACAGGCCCCCAGACTGCCCCTACTTCAGAGCCAAGCACAAGTCCCAGGCTCTGATACTTCTAACCAACTTGATTACAAATTGGGGGTTCCCACAGCCTCCTTGTCAGGTTTAATTTTGCTGTAGCAGCTCACAGAAGTCAGAGGAAACACTACTGATGTCTCCTGGTTTAGTACAAAGTATGTGCAGCTTGATGAAGAGGTACCCAGGGCGAGGTCTGGAAGGGTCCTGAGCACAGGAGCTCCTATCCCCATGGAGTTGGGGTGCACCGCCCTCCTGGTACGTGGATGTGTTCAGCATCCTGGAAGCTCTCGGAACTCTGTAGATGAGGGATTTTGATGTAGGCTTCGGTCCAGAGGCCCGATCGATTGTGCATTCAGTCTCTAGCCTCGCTCTCCTCCCTGGAGGATGAGGGGTTAAGGCTGAAAGTTCCAAGCTCCTAAGTGTGTCTTGGTCTTCCTAGTGCCAGGGGCCCACCCAGGGGCCCACCAAGAGGCACCTCATTAGAACAAAAGATCTTTCTACCATCCAGGAAATTCCAAGGGTTTTAGATCTGTGTCAGGAATTGGGGGCAGAGATAAATATATTTTTTCTTATGTCACATGGGGCTTTTGAAGTATATTCGCAAACTGCTTTCCAAAAGACTCGAATGAAGGTTTACTCCCCTATAGGAAGGTATGAGAGTGTCTCTATCCTGGCCATTATCACATGTTGCAATTATTTATAAAACTGCTTATTTGAAAGATTCATAAAAGCCTCGATGTTGTTTTAATTTACATTGATTACTAGGAAGTATGAATTTTTCCTGTTTGGTTACCAGTTTCATGATCTCCTTTGTGAAAGGCCTGTCGTGGCCCTCACCTGTGTATATTTTGGTTTCTTGATGCTTTTCTTAATAATTTATGTGAACTTTTCATGATAAAGATGTTGGCCCCATTTCAATATTTACTATAAATATTTTCCGAGCTAACACAAAGGATCAGATTAAACCAGATTTACACAAAGCAGAGATTGTTCCAGTATTAAATTTTATGAATACAAATAACCAAGAGGCACAGGCAGCGTAGCGGGAGGCCTGTCCTTCCTGCATCAGACACAGATCCTCTGGCTCAGAGCAGCGTACGAGGTCTCTAATGAGGTTTGCAGGTCACCTCACAGAGTGAGGAGCATTTAGGTTGTGAAACAACTCCATCTGACAGCTCAAACGGTTGTATAACTCATGTGATCTTCTTCAGTCATAAATCCATAGATTCTAGGTTTGTCTGTCATCAGCAATTCTAAACTGAGACATCGTGCCGAAAGAATTCCACTGATAAGCCCTCTCGTAGCAGATATCCAGTGAGCACCATATTTACTGCGGGCCTAGACAAACCTCCCGCTTCTTTCTCTCCCACTGTCCCCCACGGTAAACAGGGGAGAAGCGTGTCCTGGGCCCGCTGCTTTCATTCTGTCTTCTCCACTTTCCAAGGCAGCTGTTTGCATTTTAATTTTTTTGAACTCTAGATGTTTTTAAAACTTTCATTATAATTAAGGGGATTTCTGGTTCCAGTAATGACAAAGTGGCTTATATCAGTCTGACCCTCTCACAGACAACAATGATAAACTTGAGACAAAGTGTGTTTAAAACATATTATTTTAAGACATTGATAAGCAACCAAAAAGCAGGCAGCGATCGGAGAGGATTTGAGGAAGGCAACTGTACTTTGTCAAATCATTTTTATGGCTTTCTCCTGACCAGTCTGTGACAGCCTGGGGGTTAGCTACAAGTCACGTACAAAGCCAAAGTTACATTGGCTGTAGGTGCCAGAGGATGGAGTTTGAGGCAGGCAGAGTAGCTGGAAATTGAAGGAGGCAATCAATTCTGGAAAGGAGGAAAAGGAAGAAGCACAGCAGAGCGAGCCCCTCAAATTTGCATATAAATTCCCCCAATCCATGCCTGATCCCTGAACTGCACCAGAGATAAAGAAGGATATTGTATAGTGACAAAAGAGAATTCACTGGGAAGACACAGCTATTCTAAGTGCTATGTACTTAATAAGAGAGCTTTCAAGCAGAAGAAACAAAAACTGAAAACTAAGGAGGGGAAGTTGAAAAACCGACAGCAGTGGTTGGAGAGCTTCACAGTCCTCTCTCAAGCTGTTAAAACAAGACTAAACATACACATCCATACACACAACACAGTAAATGCGGATAGAGATTTGAACAATACCTATTAGTCTCCTGTAGCTGCTGTAACAAATTACCCCAAATATGATGGCTTCACCCAACAGAAATCTACGCTGGCAGCTGCTGGGATGAAATCAAGGTGTCAGCAGGAGGGTGCTCCCTTCAGAAACTCTAGAGGAGAATCCCTGTCTTTGCTTCTTCTAGCTTCTAGAGCTACATTCTTTGGCTTGGAGTCCCTTCCTCTGCCTTCAACACCAGAAATGTAGCATCTTGCTTTAGTGTTCACATTGCTGCCTCCTCTGTAGTCAAATCTCCCCCGACTTCCTCTTATAAAGACACTTGTGATTATATTTAGGGCCCACCTGGGTAACCCATGATAATCTCATGTCAAGATCATTCACTTAATCACACACACAAAGATCCTTTTGCCATATAAGGTGATATTTGCAAGTTCCAGTGATTGGGACCTGAATATCTTTGGGGGTCGTTATTCAACCTGCCACATTCTACTCAGTCCTCAAACATTCACATCTGCAAACCCAGAAAATCTGAGACTGGTCTCAATTAATTCAAAAAGCTTGTTTTGCTAAGGTTGAGCATGTGCCCCTGACACAGCCTCAGGACGTCCTGACGACATGTGCCTGAGGTGGTAGGGGCACAGCTTGGTTTTATACATTTTAGGGAAACATGAGACATCAATCAATACATGTAAGAAGTACATTGGTTTGGCTGGAAAGGTGAGGCAACTTGAAGCAAAGGCAGGAAGACTCAAAGTGGGGAGGAGTCTTCCAGGTCACAGATAGGAGAAACACAAATGGTTGCATTCTTTTGAATTTCTGGTAAGTCTTTCCAAAGGAGGTAATCAGAACATGCATCTATCTCTGTGAGCAGAGGGATGACCTTGAAGGGAGGGGGAGGCAGATTTTCCCTGAGTGGTTCCCAGCTGAAGGGATCCAAGATGCTTCCCTTTGGCACATCCATCCCACAGACAAAAAGCATTCACCCTATCCCAACATCCCCCAAAGTCTCAACCCATTACAGCATCATCTCAAGCCCAAAATCTTATCTAGGTATAATCTGCTCAAAAGTTCTAAATCTCATTGCCCACATAATCTAAATCAGGTGCGGAGGAGACTTTGGGCATGGTGCATCCTGGGGCAAAATCTCTCTGCATCTGTGGTATTGTAAAACTAGAAAACGAATGGTTTGCTTCCAGTACAGGCACAGGATAATAGTTTGTAGATATTCTCATTCCAAAAGGGAGAAAATGGAAGGAAGAAAGGTATCACTTGCCCCAAGCAATTTTGAATTCCAACTGAGCAAACTCCATTATGTATCAAGACCGGGAAACAATTCTCTGTGGCTTGAGACTCCACCCTCTGGACCCAAGGCACCACCTCAAAGTCATTGTTCTTTTTCTTGAAGGGTAGCAAATGTTTGCAGCTGAGTAGTTTTATCAGCCTGTTTCCTGCCTGTAGAATTTGGGACTCTGACAGTCTTCTTTCATTTGATTCTCTGACCATCCCTTTCAGTCCAAGCTGGCAGTGTTGCTGTTACACTCTCAAAAACCTTGGTGGTCTCCTGTGTATGTCATAGAGATTTAATCCATTAAACAAAAGGGTCCTCCATAAATCATTCCAGCTCTATTCATGGCTTTTGCTAAAACAGTTGAGGGACTCACTGTATCTAATCACGTATCTAATCTCTTCAGCTCTAGAAAAGGTTATCTAGGGCCCTGTGTGGTGGCTCATGCCTATAATCCCAGCACTTTGGGAGGCCGAGGCGGGTGGATCACAGGGTCAAGAGATTGAGACCATCCTGGTCAACAAGATGAAACCCCATCTCTACTAAAAAATTACAAAAATTAGCTGGGCATGGTGGTGTGCGCCTGTAGTCCCAGCTACTCGGGAGGCTGAGGCAGGAGAATTGCTTGAACCCAGGAGGTGGAGGTTGCCAGCGAGCCGAGATCATGCCATTGCACTCCAGTCTGGGTAACAACAGCGAAACTCCATCTCAAAAAAAAAGAAAGAAAAAGTTATCTAGCCACACCTTTGACCTTCTCTCTAGATCCTGCTTTCTTGACAGTGAATCTCCAGAAGTTTAACATCTTTTGCGATGTGGAGAGTCTGAGAATTTCCCAGATCATCAAGCCTTGGTTTCTTTTTGCTTACCATTTCTTCCCTCATTTTATCTCTTACCTGTCAAAGGTTATTATAGGGTAGAAGAAGAACTCAACCTATACCGTCAACCCTGTGCTTGAAAATCTTAGCTAAATACCCAAGTTCATTCCTTACAAGTTCTATTTTCCTAAAACTGTAGGACATAATTCAGCTAAGGTTTCTGCCACTGCATAGCAAGGACCCTCTTTCTTCTGAATTCCAATAACATGTTCCTCATTTCCTCTGAACCTTCACCAACAGCACCTTTAACGTTCACATGTTTACTAATAGTCTGTTTATGACAATATAGATCCTCTCTAAGGTGTTACAAGCTTTCTCTACTGTGCTTCTCACTTCCTCCTGGCCCTCACAATCTTTCAAATCAATATTTCCAATAACAGTCTGTTTAAGGCAATCTAGGCTTTTTCTATCATGCTTCTCAAAATTTTTCCAGCTCTATTATCCAATTTCAAAACTACTTCCATTTTTTTTTTTTTTTTTTTTGAGACGGAGTTTCGCTCTTGTTGTCCAGGCTGGAGTGCAATGGAGCGATCTCAGCTCACCGCAACCTCCGCCTCCTGGGTTCAGGCAATTCTCCTGCCTCAGCCTCCCGAGTAGCTGGGATTACAGGCACGCGCCACCATGCCCAGCTAATTTTTTGAATTTTTAGTAGAGACGGGGTTTTGCCTTGTTGACCAGGATCGTCTCAATCTCTTGACCTCGTGATCCACCCGCCTCGGCCTCCCAAAGTGCTGGGATTACAGGCGTGAGCCACCGCGCCTGGCCACTACTTCCATTTTTTTTTTAAGAGATAGGGGTCTTGCTTATTCAGGCTGGCCTCAAACTCCCGAGCTCAAGTGAGCCTTCCATCTAAGCCTCCTAAGTACTTGGGACTACAGGTACACTTTTCGAGGTCTTTTTACAGCAGTACCCCACTTCCAGATTTTTAGGTATTTGTTATAACAGCACCCCATTTCCAGATGCCAAAATGTATATTCGTTTCCTATGACTGTAACAAATGACCATAAACTGAGTGGCTCAAAACAACACACACATATTCCCTCACAGCTCTGGAGGTCAGAAGTCTGAAATCAGTTTCACTGGGCCAAACCAGGGCCATGCTCAGGTCGGAGGCTCTAGGAAAAAAAATCTACTTCCTTGCCATTTTCATTTTCTAGAGCGGTTTCTTTCTTCTTTTATTTATTTTTTTCTTTTTGAGTTGGAGTTTCGCTCTTGTTGCTCAGGCTGGAGTGCAACGGCACAATCTTAGATCACTGCAACCTCTGCCTCCTGGGTTCAGGTGATTCTCCTGCCTCAGCCTCCTGAGTAGCTGGGATTACAGGCATGCGCCACCATGCCTGGATATTTTTGCATTTTTAGTAGAGACAGAGTTTCACCATGTTAGTCAGCCTAGGTCTTGAACTCCTGACCTTGGGTGATCCACCTGCCCTGGCCTCTCAAAGTCCTGGGGTTACAAATGTGAGCCACTGCACCTGGCATTTTTTTTTTTTTTTTAGATGAAGTCTCCCTCTATCACCCAGGCTAGATTGTAATGGCACGATTGTGGCTTACTGCAACCTCCACCTCCCAGGTTCAAGTGGTTCTCCTGTCTCAGCCTCCCAAGCAGCTGGGACTACAGGTGCCCATCACCATGCTTGAATAATTTTTGTATTTTTAGTAGAGAGAGATTTTCACCATGTTGGCCAAGCTGGTCTTGAACTCCTGACCTCAGGTGATCCACCTCCCAAAGTGCTGAGATTACAGGAATAAATCTTAATCTTACAGAGTATGTTTTCTTATGACAACAATTGGCTCTTATGAAATCAATACTAGGATAACTAGAAAAGCCCCACATATTGAAAATTAGACAGCATCCATAGAACAAGAAGGAAACCACAAGGGAAATTAGAAAATATTTCAAACTGAGTGAAAATCCAACATAGCAAATTTAAGCACTGCAGCTAAAGCAGTGCTTAGAGTAAAATTTATAGTACTAAGAGCTTATACAGTGTTATAAAAGAAGAACGTTTTATTTATTGTATTTTATTTTTGAGACAGAGTTTTGCTTTTGTTGCCCAGGCTGGAGTGCAATGGCGTGATATGGGCTCACCGCAACCTCTGCCTCAAGGGTTCAAGCGAGTCTCCTGCCTCTGCCTCCCGAGTAGCTGGGATTACAGGCATGCACCACCATGCCTGGCTAATTTTATATTTTTAGTAGAGACGGGGTTTCTCCATGTTGGTCAGACTGGTCTTGAACTCCCAACCTCAGGTAATCTGCCCACCTCCGCCTCCCAAAGTGTTGGGATTACAGGCGTGAGCCACCACGCCCAGCCAAAAGAACATTTTTTAAGTGATGATCCAAATTTCACCTCAAGAACTAGAAAAGCAAATTAATCCCATAATAAGTAGCAGAAAGGAACTAATAAAGAACAGAAATTAACACAGTACAAATGATGAATTAACAAATCCAAAAGTTAGTTCTCTGAAAAGATTAGTAAAATTGATAAACTCCAGTAAGATCGATTATGAAGAAAACGAGAAAATATCAGCTATCAATATTAGAATGAAAGAGGGGCTATCGTAGATCCTACAGATGTTAAAAAGATAAAAAATGAATATTATAAATAATGGCATGCCATTAAATTCAACAACCTAGATGAAATGAGATAATTCCTTGAAAAATACAAATCATCGAAACTGACACACGAATAAATACAAAATCTAAATTGTCCCTTTTAATAAGTATTGCCTATTACATATACTGACTTCCTAATTTAAAACCTTCCCACACATAAAACTTCAGGTCCAGGTGGTTCCACTGGTAAATTCTTTAAAACATTTAAGGAAAAATCAATAATGTTAATCTTATACAAACTCTTTCAGAAAGCAAATGAGGAGGGAATAGTTTCCAATTTGTTTGATGAGAGCAGCAAAAAACTATCTTGAAATCAACATAGGACAAAGATGCCAGAAAAAAGGAAAATTAATCCGAATATTCCTCATGGACATGGACATGTGAATCTTTAACAAAATATTAGCCAAAGCAGTCTTGAAACAGAATGGTTGGAGGACTCATGGAACCTGATTTTAAGATTACTACAAAGGTATGATAATCAAGATAGTATGGAATTAGCATATAGGCAAATGGATCCATAGAAAAGAGTAGATGGTCACGATTTTTGACAAAGATAATTCAATAGGGAAAGGAGGTTTTATTAACAAATATAGTGCTGGAACTATTCAATCAATGTGTGGGAAAAAGTAAACCTGTCCCCTATTTCATAAATCTAAATGCTAACACTAGAAAGCTTCAGAACAAACTTAGATGAATATTCTCATAACTTTGAAATAGGACAAGTTTTCTCAGAGCAGTCACAAAAAAAGGCACTAAAGATAACATTTAAAATGGAAAAGTAGGCCAGGCATGCTGGCTCACACCTGTAATCCCAGCACTTTGGGAGGCCTCAGCCTCCCAAGTGCTGATTCCAAGGGCCAATCCCTTGAGGTCAGGAGTTTGAGACCAGCCTGGCCAACATGGTGAAATGGCGTCTCTACTAAAAATACAAAAATTAGCTGGGTGTGGTGCCAGGTGCCTGTAATTCCAGCTACTCAGGAGGCTGAGGCAGGGGAATTGCTTGAACCCAGGAGGTGGAGGTTGCAGTGAGCCAAAACTGCATCATTGCACTCCAGCCTGGGTGACAAAGCGGGATGAGACTCCATTTCAAAATAATAATAATTAAGAAAAAAATTAAGCCGGTGTGGTGGCATGCGCTTGTGGTCCCAGCTATTCAGGACACAGAGGTAGGATCACTTGAGCCCAGTTGTTCAAGTTTACAGTGAGCTGTGATCACTGGTGACAAAGCAAGACCCTGTCTCTAAAAAATTAAAAATATAGGCAGGGCGTGGTGGCTCACGCCTGTAATCTCAGCACTTTGGGAGGCAGAGGTGGGCAGATCATATGGTCAGGATATCAAGACCATCCTGGATAACACGATAAAACCTTGTCTCTACTAAAAATGCAAAAAAAAAAAAAAAAATTGCTGGGCATGGTGGTGGGTACCTGTAGTCCCAGCTACTTGGGAGACAGAAAAAGGAGAATTGCTTGAACCTGGGAGGCGGAGGATGCAGTGAGCCGAGATTGCACCACCACACTCCAGCCTGGGCAACAGAGTGAGACTCTGTCTCAAAAATAAATAAAAATTTTAAAAATATGGAAAAGACTATCACAAAAGAGTATCCACTGTATGGTTTCATTTATATGAAGTTTAAGTACAGGCAAAATTAATCTATGAGATAGAAATCGGAATAGTGGTTTCCTCTGGGAGGATAACGATTAACTGAAAGGGAATTCTGGGAAACTTTCTGGGTGATAGAATATATTTTGTCTGGGTGGGTTATGTGGGTGTATACACTTGTCCAAATCCATTGAATTGTATATTCAAGATACATCTGTGTGCTTCACTGCATGTAAATTTTAATTTACTATATATTATTCATAATGCATAAGTATACAGGTGCACACTTATGTATGTGATGGACATTCCAACAACTGAAAGTTCTACTTAAAGATGAAAAGCAAAATATGATACATTTAACTATGTATTTTATCCCCTCTTTTCTTGCCCATTGTAAATATAGAATATTCTAAAATAATAAAGATTTTTTAAATGATTATATTGTCTTTTCCCTGGTATTTTCCTCTGTGTAATTTAAGCTTAAAGAGATTTGTCCAGCTAGAAATTTGGAAAAAAATATTTCACATATATATATATATTTTTTTCTTTATTCCTCTTTATTTCATCCAGAATTTGTTTGGAGGAGAGAAGTCCTGCTTCCAGTCATACAGAGGAAGGGCTCTCTTCCCACATCCAAGTTCCCTCTCTTGCGCTCCCCTGCTCAGGTGACTACTTCTGGCCAAGGGAAGAGAAGAGGTAGCAAAGCCTGAGACATCCCTTCTGGGTGGGAGCTAGAGAGGGGCACTATCTGCCCCAGCAGGGTGCTTGTCCTTTTCTGCACATGATTGTCTTTCTCTAAGTGGCCTCATTTTCAGATTAATACAGCTTGAAATTAGCCTGTTTCCTTGAAAAAAAAAAATTCTTTTTGAGACAGGGTCTGGCTCTGTTGCCCAGGATGGAGTGCAGTAGCATAACCGTAGCTCACTGCAGCCCCAACCTCCTGGCTCAAGCGATCCTCCCACCTCCCACCTCCCACCTCAGCCTGCTGAGTAGCTAGGACTACAGGTGCATGCCACCACACCTGGCTAATTTTTTGATTTTTAAAATTTTTGTAGAGACCAAGTCTGGAACTCCTATGCCTCAAGTGATCCTCCTGCCTCAGATTCCTAAAGCACTGAGATTACAAGCATGAGCCAGTGCACCCAACCAGTTCCCTTGAAATTAAAACAAGGGTTCTTGAAATGTTCAAAAGAAGGTCAAGCAGAAATAGTTACCTGGAAGAATAAGAAATTGCTCTGGCTGGAATAGTATAACCGTCTCGTGATACCTATGAGTGTTACACATTTGGTAAGTATGAATCTTGGGGGGAATGATTGTTGGGTGACTGGCTTTGGTCTCTGGTATCAGACATGTGGACCTGGGAGTAGTTGGAAATCTATGCAGTATGAAGTGTCTGACTTATGGGGTTAAGTGCCAGCCTTGGTGCTGCCTCTGCTTTATCCTTGAGCTAAAGAACAGCTGGCCTTGGCACAAGTTGAAGAGAATATTAGTGTCTCAGAGTCTTTTGAAAGCCAGGCCTATGTGACAACCCATCAGCAACAGCAACATCTTCAAATTCAAACACAGCCAGGGCGGAGGGCGGTGGCTCACACCTGTAATCTCAGCACTCTGGGGGGCCCAGCGGGGAGATCACCTGAGGTCAGGAGTTTGAGATCCCCCTGACCAACATGGAGAAACCCCTTATCTACTAAAAATATAAAAATTATCTGGGTGTGGTGGCGCATGCCTGTAATTCCAGCTACTTGGGAGGCTGAGGCAGGAGAATCGCTTGAACCTGGGAGGCAGATGTGGCGGTGACCTGAGATCGTGCCATTGCACTCCAGCCTGGGCAACAAGAATGAAACTCTGTCTCAGAAAAACAAACGAAACAAAAACCAGCCAGGCAGTTAATCTTACATAGATGTACATAGCACTTGAGGGTGTTTAGAGCTGGGAAATTAGAATTATCTGGGCTTTGTAAATGCTGCAAAGTGTGCCACTGAGATAAAACTGTTTGAAACATCTGACATGTAGCTACTTGACTTTTTTTTTTTTTTTTTTTTTGAGAAATAGCCTTGATCCATCAGTCTGGAATGCAGTGGCATGATCTCTGCTCGCTGCAACCTCTGCCTCCTGGGTTCAAGTGATTCTCAAGCCTCAGCCTCCTGAGCAGCTAGTGTTACAAGCACTTGCCACTGCACCCAACTAATGTGTGTGTGTGTGTGTGTGTGTGTGTGTGTGTGTGTGTTTTCTAGTAGAGACAGGGCTTCACTGTGTTGGCCAGGCTGATCTCGACCTCCTAACCTCAAGTGATCTGCCCTCTATTTAATCACTATGGAAGACACTGCCCAGTGCTTTTCTTAGAACCCCTTTTGGATTCCTTCTGCTAAAATTACTGTCAGAGTCAGCATATGATCCACATGAGGGAAATCAGCTCAATTTTCTTAATTGACAGCAGTTGGTTCTAAATAACTTTTGGCTGTTTCAAAAAATCCAATCCACCCCAGAACAAAGATTTGCCACTAATGAAGATATTAAAGAGAATGTGCTCTCTCTCTGTGTGTGTGTGTGTGTGTGTGTGTATGTATTTTAATGCTTGGCCAAACTTTAGTCAGGCTCCTGAACCTTCCCCTAGGCTCATCTGTGCACCTTCTTGTAAAATCTAGCTTTAACAAGAACTCTGCTAAATCAGCTTGGCCAAGACCCCACCCACCATGCCCAGTCACTCTCAATATCTAAAGGGATTGATTCTTCAGCCTCCGCTACCTCCCAGGTGCTGTCTGATCGCCCTGGCTTGTTTTCAGCCAGAATCCTGTTAAGAGGGGGAAACATTGTGAAATATATACAGTATTTGGTCTTTGTCTCTCTTTCCTAGCATACTACTCCTAAAATCCTTGGAATCTCCAAAAAATAAATGTCTGCTTGTATGCTAATGAGTTGACTAATGGCTGGCAGCCCCCAGGAAGCTTTAGGATTGGGCTGATCACTCATCTAAAAGAGGCAGGAGTAGAGGATTGGGACTTTCAGCCCCACTCCGCAACCTCCTGGGAGAGGGAGGGACTGAAGATGAAGTCCATCCCTGCGGCCAATGATAAACTCAATCATGCCTATGTAGTGATGCCTCCATAGAACCCCACAAGGAGAGAGTTGCGTGAGCTTCTGGATAACTGAACATGTGGAAGTTCCTGGAGGCTGGCACACCCAGGGAGGGCATGGAAGCTCATGCCCTCTGACATCCCTTACCCCATGCATTGCTTCCATTGGTGTCCTTTTTAATAAACCCATAAATGTAAGAATAATGTTTCCCTGAATTCAGTGAGCCACTCCAGCAAATTAGTAGAACCTGAAGATGACACCATGGGAACCTCCATTTTTAGCTCAATTTAGAGCTGTTCACTGAAGGACAGGTGAAAGAACTTGGGGCTTCCAACTGGCTTTGGAAGTAGGGGGCAGTCATGGAGACTGAGCCCTCACCGTGCAGGATCTGACGCTATCCCAGGTAGATAATGTCAGAATTGAATTGGAGAACACCCAGTTGGAGGACCAAGTGGAGGTCCACTGCAGAACTGATTGTTCGCTCGAGGTGTGGGGGACATCCTCCCCACATCTGGTGCCAGAAGTGTGTTGTGAGGCTTTATTGGGAGAAACTGAGTTTGTTTATTTCTCTATTCTCAGAGTTGGTTGAACTAGGACCCCTTATCCCGATGCAATTTTCCACCCACCCAGCCTCACCTCACTCTTTGCCTATGAGTCCCACTTGCTCATGCTGTCTTCCGACTTGAGCCCGCTTCCGTGCTGTGGTCCCCTTTCCCCACCGCAATGGTCCTGAATGAAGTCTCTCCTTGCCACGGTAACTACCACCCGGCTCTGGCAGTTCCTTGACAGCAGCACTGCCCGTGGAGGTTGCTTTGAGGGTTGCCTCTTGTTTGGACATAGGGGTCCTGCAGGCTGTCATCACCACGGCCTCCCTGGTTCATGGCCCCACTGCCCATGAGCCAGGGGTTTGTGACTGGAACCATGCAAGGCACTGGACACTAGATGGAAATGTCACTCACAGATTTCCCTGCTGCTGGAAAGTGAAAAACAAATGATGTCAAGCCTGTGTCTCCATTTCCGTATTCGTTTTCCAAATTTGTTGTCATCTCCCGGCTGTAAATGATGGTTTCAAGGATGAGTGGTGGTGAAACTGTTCTCCTAAGAACAGATTAGGAGTGGAAAAAACAACACATTTATCTCATAGCTTCTTTCACCACAATTTCCGAGACTAGAAAAATAACCAATTTAGGAGGCTGAGGCTGGCAGATCACCCCTGAGATCAGGAGTGTGAGACCAGCCTGGCCAACATGGTGAAACCCTGTCTCTACTAAAATAAAAAAATTAGGCGGGCATGGTGGTGGGTGCCTGTAATCCCAGCTACTCAGGAGGCTGAGGCAGGAGAATCACTTGAACCTGGCAGGCGGAGGTTGCAGTGAGCCAAGATCGTGCTACTGCACTCCAGCCTGGGTGACAGAGCGAGACTCCGTCTCAAAAAAAAAAAAAAAGGCCAGGCGTCATGGTTCACGCCTATAATCCCAGAACTTTGGGAGGCTGAGGTGGGTGGATCCCCTGAGGTCAGGAGTTTGAAACCAGCTTGCTCCACATGGCAAAACTCTGTCTCTACTAAAAATACAAAAAATTAGCTGGGCGTGATGATGGGCGCGATGATGGGCGCCTGTAATCCCAGATACTTGGGAGTCTGAGGGAGGGAGAAATGCTTGAACCTGGGAGATAGAGGTTGCAGTGAGCCAAGACCGCCACTGCACT